ATGAAAACTTCTGCATCTCTGTGCGAGGTTTTGGCTGCAGAGTTTCATCTCCCAGGATCTTTCAGATGGCAGTTTCTCTATGGATAGGTACAACTGGATGGTGGCAAGGTTGTGGTCAACTTTCTGCTGCTATCTCAGAAGCACAAAGTGTAGCTCAGTAGTCAATCATTTGGCCACCTTGGTGGGTCCAGCACTTATCCACACAGAGAGCTGAAGTGAGAGCCTACATGTCTAGCCATTTCCCCAGCTTTGTTTGCAGGAGCTCTCCCAGGTCTGCCCGGGATGTCCATGTCACCACCAGTTTCCAAGGATGGAACTGAAACTGCAGGCATGGTCTTGCATGGTGGCTATGTGCATGGGATTCAGCAATGTAGCCAGCATGCAGACAGTAGATTCTCCTCCTGGCTTTTCCTCTGTGGACCGGGCTTGCTTGGGAGGAGCCCAAGATGTGTTGCACTCATAAACTGATATGTTGAATGGAAACCCCTTTGAACAATGACTTAAATTTCTTTTAAAAAATCATTCAAAAAACCAGTAAATATTAAACACACAGAGATAGTTTCTCCACGCCAGAATCTCTGCATATCTTCCAAATGGCTCTTCGATTTACTATTTCTGTCCACACCACCTCTCTTGTGTCTGTTGACTGAAGTGAGCAAACTACAATCATCAGAAAAGGCATTTCCTTGATGAGCATTCTGTCCATGCTGCATTCTGAGAATATCTAGAAAGGTCTGGTGTAGAAACAGTTCCAACATTCCACATTGATGGTTACAGTGCACAATGTATGTTTCCATATTGATCAAAGAAAGCTGTATGGCTGAAAGCTTTCTCTCATTGCTTCAATCACAGAGTTTCTCTCATGTCTTGTACACACACTGGAAAAAGTGGGTGCTTTCGCACACTGCTGACACTGAGAGGGTTTCTCTCTGGAGTGAGTCCAACTGTGGCTTCGAAGGCTGCTGGAAGAAGGGAAGGCTTTCGCACACTGCTGACACTGGTTGGGCTTCTCCCCCGTGTGAGTTCTTTTGTGCTCCTGGAGGTGACTGGAACAAGAGAAGGCTTTCTCACACTGTGCATATCTGTAAGGCTTCTCCCCAGTGTGAGTTCTTTCTTGATTTTGAAGGTCAGTGAAACAAATAAAGGCTCTCCCTCATTGCTTACATCCTTCTTTCTTTTGTCTTTCTTCTTTGCTGTTCAAGAGACAACTGTTACTGTGCATTATTGACCTTTCCAGGCCCTGGTTCATTTGTCTGTTTGATCTTGTCTGTATTCTGCACTGAGGTTTAGGCAGCCAATGTAAGTCCACTGGCTGGAAGTGTTCAGCCCTGTGGTCCTGCAGTTAAGGTGGTGTTACCAACACTTTCCTTCCTCTCTGGCCTTCAGCTTGCTGGAATCAGAGCCTTCCATCTCTATGTGAGCTTGCCATTACAGTCTTTGCCCAAATACTATGGCTGCATAACCCAGAAATCCCTAAGCCCTAAGTGACCTCTGAGTGCCAAGTTCCCTGATTTGGGGTGAATCCCACCGCCTGCTGGGGTCAGGCCATTTACAAGCAGTCAGGGTGAGGACATTACTTTGTGGTTTGAACTATAGCTACCCATGGAAGCTAGTTCCTTTCTATCTTCCTTTCTTTCTTTCTTCCTTCCTTCCTTCCTTCCTTCCTTCCTTCCTTCCTTCCTTCCTTCCTTCCTTCCTTCCTTCCTTCCTTCCTTTCTTTCTTTCTTTCTTTCTTTCTTTCTTTCTTTCTTTCTTTCTTCCTTTCTTTCTTCTTGTTTCCTTGCTGGTGGAGGAGAAAAGAAGAAACAGGCTGGAGAATTTATTGAGCAACAGTGAGGGGTAGCAATCTTACTGTGGGATTGGAGATTGTGCAAGTAGATGGGGCTGGAATTAGGCTTTTATACGGTCTGAGCAAGGAGGTAGAGGTTACTTTGGTTCTGTACAGGGGCGGTGACTGCAGATGTGGACAGAAGATAAGGTAGGTGCGCATAGAGAATATTGGCTGCCTTATCTTTAGGGAGCAGAGGGGAGCGATCTTACTTCCAAAGTCTCAAGCTTTGTACTGTTCACACAGCTCTCCATCTGTCTTGTCTTGGCTGACTTTCTTGGGGTCCAGTTCCCAGCCTTCTGGCATTCCAACCTCCTAACCCTTTCCTGCCTCACAGCTCAGCCTCAGCGTCCCCTACAGGTTAGGCCTACAATAGAATGTGGATGGCCAAGCTTAGGTCCCATTGCTCAGCCTCTGTCAAGCTTGTCCATGCACACCTGGGGTCTAACCTGGCATCTGGATGCACCTGAGATAATACACTGGATCTCATTCCTTCAATAAGAGTTTATCACAGGGCCTGGGTGCAGTCCCTGAGCTCTATTGCTCAAGGCTAGCATTCCGCCTCTTGAGCCACAGGACCACTTCCAGTAATCTAGTGGTTTGTTGGAAATAAGAGTCTCATGGACTTTGCCACCCAGGCTGGCTTGGAACTGAGATCCTCATCTCTCAGTCTCCTGAGTAGCGAGGATTACAGACATGAGCCACCAGCTCTTGGAAGTTCCTTTCATTTCTCATACAGCCATTGGGGACTGAAGTTCTGGGTGGGTCAGCCAGACTGGAGTTGTGGGACCCCCTTCCCCATGTGGAATTTGGAGGGTGTGAGATCCTGGTGACTCTGGTGGAGTCCTTGCTGCTGGGCTGGCAGACCGGTTCCCCTTCACCGGCCCATCCCCTGGGGCTGCATTCACTGATTCACCCTTTTGCTGCAGTGAAGTTTCTAAAAGTAACTGGAAGATTCCCTCCCTGGAGCCTCATTCTCCTGGATGAGGTCACAGCACTGGATGTGCACGGGCAGATAACCAAGCATGTTTTCCAGCTCGTGCTTTTCTGCTGATGAGAACCTCAGCTGCAGAGTCTGAGGGCATGCTCTCCAGACCTCCAGGGGAGTCTGAAAGAAGGAGAGGGACACAGTGGCCACTGCAGCATAATAAGGCTTGTCACCCACAACACATCGTCTGCCTGCACTCCTGACATGTATGCTACCAGCCGGAGTCCCCGCTGAGCTGAAGCTTCAATGATCTTCTTCCTCCTCTTCTGCCTTCCCATGCCTGGAATTTCATCGCTCGATTCCAGTTCCTTCTCCAGAATGAAAGCCCTGGTCCGGGTAGATGGAGACGTGATGATTGTGGGGTTTTTCCCCCTCAACGTTTTGGAACTGGACTGTAGGGAAGATGGCTCTGCCCAGGATGAGCACAGGACACCATGGGACATGCCATCTCAGCACCTAGCAACAAGAAACCTGCTAGACCCTCAGGACAGAGCTAGTCCTGGTGATGAGGTCTACCCCGAGACACTTGGAAAAAACTGCACAGATGAGGGTGGATGGTGCGACATCCTAAATGGAGTCACTCTGTGCTTGCCCTTCAAAACTCACCAGAGCCAGGAGGTCAAAAGAAAATATTTATAAGTATGCCTATTTAATGCCCATACCTGTCTTTCTTGTAAGTGGACAGGAACTAAAACTCTTGACCTTGATACCTTCTATGTCTACTTATAAGGGGTCTCCCATACATCCTCTGTAGTGCAAACATCTGTAATCCAGGTATCTATAGTCCAGTTACAGTAAGATCAAGGCCTCCCACTGGGACCTTAACCACTGCAATCCAGCCCTAGCTTCGGAGTGGTTATTATAACCAGTCCGTTTTGCTCTCCCTTATGCAGTTGCTGGATATTAATCAGTCAGAAGTAGTCAGGGACCTGATCCACCAGTCACAGGGCCACCTGGATTGCAAGAGAGAGGGACTTGCCAGATCATCCACCGTTTGCCCTTTCCACTGTGACTGGAAGGCTGCCGGTCCCTCTGTGTTTGTGTGCCCTCTAGTAATGTTTTGACTTACTGTTCAGTCTCTGCCTCATAAGACTTCTTTCAGATTTCAGCCAAGGATGCTTACATGTGTTCACCACCCAGGAACGGTTACTGCTGCCTCCTCCTGGACCACATGACAGCTCTGCCTTCTATCCCCAAGCTTAACTCCACCTGCTAGCAGGAAGTAGCTATAGAGATTTGGTGCTCCTTTTTAACTATCAAAAGTTTGGAATGTTAAGCCTGCTCAGGGAACAATGGACCCTTCTCTTCTCTCTTCTCCAGGGGAAAGCATATGTGGATGCACAACCCTTTGGTATCCCCAAGGGACATCAGGCAGACCAACCTAGAAGTCCCTGCCCAGCACTGTAAATCTAGGTAACTGGTGTACCCGGGAGTACTGGGAGGACCCCATGCTAATGGGTCACTTCTACATTGGTAGCCATACCCCCTCTTCCCTGCCCTAAGTTGGCTCTCTGCACACCAACAGATCATGAAAGCCGCAAGATGGGCTCTCCCCAATGAACTCCCTTCTGCCTGAACCACGTGGCATTCTCCTCTCAGAAAACTGTACGCTTTGATGCTGAGAAATAATAACATTGTACATATTATTTTGGAAATGACTTTATTGATTCATTAATACAGTAAATTGTGAACAGTCAAGGACTGCCCTAGAACATGAGCCAGTTGCTCACAATCATTTAGAAAAACAAGGTCATGGTCCAGTTCTTTCCAGGCTGAATCCACTACAGATTCCTGATAATGTGTGCCCATGTAGCCCAACATAGTTATGATTGAAATGAAAAGTCCAGAAACAGAGGTTCTCTCTTCCACCCATTCTGAATGTTGGGGACGGTGCTCCTGGAGAATGCTCTTATGTCAGATCTTTCATTTTGTCCTTTATTTCTTATTTTTGCCAGTCCTATGACTTGAAATAAGGACCTAGACACTGTCTGAGCTTCTTTTCTTAAGGTTAATACTCTGCCACATGAAGAACAGTGCCACTTCCACCTTTTTCTGTGTGTGTGGTACTGATGAATCAAACAAGGGCTTCGTGCAAGCCAGGTGAGCACTCCATCACTGAGCCACAATCCTAACCCCAACTTTCATTTTGGAGTGCTCAGATGAGAGCCCAGGAGAGGCTCCTGACTACAGAGGCAGAGTAGGAAGGCGAGGAAGATTCTTGACGGTGACCACCCAGTAGCCATCAGGCCCCAGGGTGTAAAAGGTCCAGTATTTGTGATGATGACAGAAATCGATACAGATCTGGACCTTCTGAGTAGTCCCCATGTCTCTCAATGACTGCTCCAACCGAGTCTGAACCTGGGCAAATCTCTCAGGTTCAAAGTCCCCTACCCACCGTTCATGATGGGGGTAGCACTCCAGAGGGGCAGGATAGATCCCTTGTCTCAAACAGTCCAGTCTGGCTGTGTGGCTCAGGAGGCTCTGCAGGACAGAAATGGAGATGTGGTTTCCATAGAAACTGAAGAAGCTGAGCTGGGAGCACAGGCTCAGGGCGGGCAGCATGCCCAAGAGCTGGGGATCCATGATGGCACAGTCCTCCAGGGCCAGCGTCTCCAGGGTGCCGGCCGCGTGCTCCAGTAGGACTCTCAGGGGCTCAGGACTGAAGTTGTCCAGGGGCAAACTCCTCAGACGCAGGTGCTTGAGCTGCCTGGAGCAGGGCCACTGGGACAGGAACCACAAGTCAGCCTCCTTCAGTGGACACGAACTCAGAGACAAGGTCTTCAAAAGGGTGAGGTTCCTGAGGATGGTGGGCAGGCGACCATAAAGGAAGAAGACGTCATGCACATACAGCTCCTGCAAATGCTGCAGCTGTCCCAGATGTACAGCATATTTGTAGGAATATGAGAAATTCTTGTGTCTGCAAGTGACGTTCACTCTCATCCTGGACAATTGGAGGATGCGAAGGTTCTTCATCTGACTTAGGTAAGGGGCAACTTTTTTCATGGTTTCTCGATGCCAGAATTTATGCACCTTTAGCTCCTGGATGGAGTCCAGCCTCACCACACGCAGAGCCCTCTGGATTTCAGAGATGGAGCCAGAGAGAATCTGCATCTTCGTGGAGCACAGGTGGACTCGTTCTCTCCTCTCCCTGACCCACTGGAGCAGGTGGCCTTGGAGAGCATCCTGGGCACCATCTTTGATGGTCAGGTCCATGAGTAAAATCAAGGGCGGCTCTTCAGTCATCATTGAACCACAGTTCTCTGTTGGCCTGTCAGTCAGGACATCAGGATAAGAGATTCGGGCCATTGAAGGGTAGCCCTGTATCCAGATCTTTGGGTGCTCATTCCGCAGGTCGAGGACTTGCAGTTTCCACCGACTGGGGAGCTCCTTCTTGGCAAGTAGAAGGTCGAGACCAGCCAGGACAGCATTCAAGGTTTCCAGGTCTGGAGACTCTGCTAGGTCACCCAGGGGTAGGCAGGAGAAGGGCCAGGCCTGCACCAGGGCTTTCAGCATCTCTGTGTGGGCCCTGGCATAGACCTCCACGAACAGCGAAGGGAACAGCAACACCGGTAGATCCTCCAGGGCAGAGATGGCCAGGGCCTGGTTGCTCAGCAGGCTCTGCATGGCCAGATACTGGAGCGAGGGTGGGGTCCTGCGGCTCATCTTCACAGCCAGAAGTGGAACAGATGTGGACCAGGTGTGCAGGATTCTCTGAATCCCAGCAGGGCCAGGCACTCAAGGCAGACTCCAAGCTTCTGCTCTTTTTTTGTCCTTTGGCATCTTTATACTCCAGTCCCATCCTCCCTTCTGTGTATCTACCAATGGGAGAGCAGATTCTGATGGGATTTCTGAGTAACACCCACCAAACCTTGGCTGGGTCTAATGGTTTAGATTACTTGAAACAGAGATTGTACCCAGACTGATAGGATTATTGGCAGGACTCACTGGGCCCAGCTTCCATTTCAAATGTGTAACACACACACACACACACACACACACACACACACACACACACACACACATTTCCTGTGCTTATTTTTTATCCCTTTGAGAAATTTCCACAATATTCCACTGCCTTGAGCCTGCAAAAGTTCCAAGAACATCAGCCAGCCCAATCTTATAGCATGCACAAACACTTCTCTAGAAAATTATTTTCCTCCCTCCCTTCCTTCCTTCCTTCCTTTTTTTCATTCTTTCTTTCCTTCCTTCCTTTGTTCCTTCCTTCGTTCCTTCATTCATTCATTTGTTCGTTCATTCGGTCGTTCGTTCCTTCCTTCCTTCCTTTCTGTCTTTTTTTTATTGTTCATCTCACAACTTGAATTGAGGGCCTGGCCAGTATCCTTGAGCTTCTTTTCCTCAATGCTTTTGCTCCAACATTTGAACCACAACAGTACTTTCCTCTTTTTTCTGTGGAGTTTATTGAAGATAGGATTATAAGTCATGGCAGAGATATGGCTGTTTATCAGAAAACCAGAGAAATACAGTGAGAAATGTCAAGGCAGAGTCCCTAAAAAAGATGGATAACATGGCAGGATTACCAAACACTTCTCAGTCCTCACTCTCAATGTTAACAGACTTAACTCTTTAATTCAATGACATAGATTCACTAGTAGGATAAAAGAGCAAGATCTATCCATGTGCAAGACACATCTTGCCAAGAAAAACAAACATTTTGAATGTTTGCATTTTGAATAAATCTTTTCAAGAAAATTGCTCCCATAAACAGGTTGGAGTAGCAATAATAATATCAGAAAAAATAGATTTCAATTTAAAATTAGAAGAGACAAAGGGCATTACAAACTAATAAAGGGATCTCTGCTAGAAGTTTCTAACAATTCTAAATATCTATTCACCAATACCAGAGCACCCAACTTCATCAAACTAAAACTACAGGACCTAAAAAACATATAGAATCAAAAATAGTAATTGTTGGTGATTTTAACACACCACTGTTGCACTGAATAAATGAACCCATAAAGTGTAACAGAAAAACCTCAGAACTGAATCCCCTAAATATCTGCATTGACTGACTAGACTTCACAGACACCTAGAATATTTGACCAGGCATCATCAGAATACATATTTTTCTGAGAAGCACATGGAATATTTTCCAAAACAAATAACATGTAAGTCTGTGCGGAAAATCTGCACAAGTTCTGAAATATTAAAATTATTCCCAGCATTCTGTCAGACCACATGCTGTATTATTATAGTTCAATATAAACAGTCATCATGGGCTGGGAAGGTAGCTCAGTGGTAGAGCACTTACCTTGCATGCATGAGGCCCTGGGTTCCATTCCTCAGCACCAGATAAGCAGAAAAAAGCCATAAGTAGCTCTGTGGCTCAAGTGGTAGGGTGCTAGCCTTAAGCTGAAGAGGTGAGGGATGGCGCCCAGGCACAGAGTTCAGCCCACCATTATTGACCACACATACACACACACACACACACACACACACACACACACACACACACTCACACACCAACCAGTCATCATAAAATCTCTATAACTCATGGAGACTGAATAATATATTGTTGCAGAAGAAGTGGTTCATTGAAAAGATCAGAATGGAAGTAGAAACACAGGATGGAAGATAGACAGCCTGTGCCACAAATAGTGCTGGCAGTATTGGCTATCCACATGCAGAAAACTGAAGTTAGATCCTTCCATAACACATCACACAAGAGTCAGTTCCCATTAGATCAAAGACGTCAATGGAACACCAGACCCCCTGGAAATATTACTGGAAGGGATAGGAGAAGCAGGAAGGCTCCTTGGCATAGGCCAAAACTTCCTAAATAAAGATCCAGAATCACCACAAGTTAAATAATAACTAGATGAATGGAACTGAAAAAACTGAAGAGCTTCTGCACGGCAAAGGACACAGTAGCAAGACAAATAGCCCACAGAATGGTATAAAATCTTTACTTGCATTTCATCTGACAAGTGCCTCCTATCTAAAATGTAAGTACAGCTAAACAAATTAAACCTACCAAAAACAAAACCTCAAAGAAACGACTAGCCAGCTAGAGATTTAAAGAGCGATTTCTATATAAAAGAAACATGAATGGCCCATAGACACATGAAGAGGTGCTCCACATCCCGAGCCATGAAAGGAATACAAATCAAATCAACTTTGAGATTCTACCTCATCCCAATTAGAATGGCTATTATCAAAAAACAAAAAAAAAATCCAAAAATCCCTAACAATAACAGATGATATTGAGGATATAGCCAAAAGGGAACAATACTATAAATGTTGGTGGGGAATGTAGACTTGTGTAACTACTAAGGAAGGCAGTATGGAGGTTCCCCAACTAACCATCCATTAAACTTCATTCTTATGCAAATGGCCCAAACCAGGCCACATTAAAACAGCACAACCCTGGTCTCTGCGGCATTGATACCCTAGCTAACATATGGAGCCAACCCAGTTGCCCCTCAGTGGATAAATGAATGAGGAAAATTTGGTATATATATCCCATGGAACTTTATGCTTCCATCAGAAAGAATGATATTTCCCTACTCATGTGGAAATGGAAGACTTTGAGAAAATTACACTAAGTAAAGTAAGCCAGACCCAAAGAAACAGAATGCATGGTTTCCCTCATTTGTTATCATTCAAATGTGGCTATAAATCTATGGTAAATCCAAAGGATAGTAAAAGACTTGGACATGATTAATCAAACAGCCTTGTAAATACTCACACAGTGAGAAGAACGTAGGATATGCTTAGAAAAGGATCACAAGGGTTCAATTTGCATGATGGGATCATATAAAATGATGCTAATCAAAATGAACTCTAAGAAATGGAAGCTAGCCCGATTTTATTGCACTCTCTGTTCCTTTTATTTCATTTTTCTTTCTTTTTTGCCTCTTTTCATTGTTTTTTATTTCTGTGCCTTTGTCTTGTATGCACATTTATTTCATTTGGGAGAGGATGGGGAATCATGGAAATGGTGGGAAATGAACTTTACACTTTGGAGGGGAGGTCAGTGGGAAGGAGAAAAAGTGGAAGGAATGAAGGACACCATTTTAAAGGAAATGTACTCAAATTGTAATCCTTCTGTATATCATCTTCACAATTAAATTTAAAGGTTAACAGAAAGCTTCTCAACGACTTTCTGGTCAGACTGGCTTTGAACTGCCATCCTGACATCTAGTCTTCCTGACTAGGAGAATTAAAGGTGTGAACCACCAAAGTCCTGTGTAAGTCAATATTCTTTCTTTTTCTGTCCTTCCCTCTCTCCCTCCCTCCCTCCCTCTCCCTCCCTCTCTGTTTCCCTCCCTTCATCCCTCCCTAACTTCCTTCCTTCCTTCCTTCCTCCCTCCCTCCCTCCCTCCCTCCCTCTCTCCCACACCCCTCTTCTCCTTTCTTTCCTTCCTGCCTTCCTACTTTTTGGTGTGCTAGGTGAAGAGGAGGTGAATATTTCTTATTCTCAAGTCATGTTTCATCAAATCGCAGTGACTACAGTTTAACTACTGAGAATTCTCATCCAAGAGTACACAGGAGCTTAAGAAATAGATTTAATGTTCTCATGAGGGAGCATTCAGTATTTGATGGCAATTCCCCTACACAACATCTTTTCAGCAAAATTAGATCTATGTGTGTTGAACCTTGATGCTGGCTTGTTTCAGGTTTTTTTGTGCCAGTTGTGATTATCTGTTTAAATCTTAGAGAGAGGGCCTCTTTGTCTTGTCACTCAAAAGAAAATTAGCTGCTGCTGTCCAGTGTATCACACCGGTAGTCATATGCACTCAGGAGGCTGAACTCTGAGTTCATGATTCAATGCCAGCAACACAGATGAGTCCAAGGGACTCTTGTCTCCAGTAAACCCACCAAGAAACAGAAGTGGAGCTGTGGCTTGAGTGGTAGGCCATCAGCCCTGAGGGAAAAAGCCAAGTCAAAACAAGAGGACCTGAGTACCTTCATATAAGGAGAGAGACAGGGAGGGAGGGGGGGGAGACAGAGAAAGAAGAGAGAGAGAGGAGAGAGAGGGAGGGAGGGAAGTAGGAGGGAGGGTAACATAAGAGAAGGCAGACAGGAAGGAAGGAAGGAAGGAAGTGAAGAAAGGAGGATGGAAAGGAAAGAAAGAAAAAAGGGAAGAAGACAGAATAAAAAGAAGGAAGGAGGGAAGGAGGGAAAGAAATAAGGAAATTAAACTCGTTGTGAATGCTATAAGGTTGGACTGAGAGATTTTCTTTGAGCCTTTTGCTGGCTCAGGGCAGAGTAACATCGGTGGGAATGTCTGGAGGGAACAGGATATAAAGGAGGGAAGTCTCTGTGTCCATTTTATTTCAGCTTTGAAAGAGAAGCTTGACTGAGTGGGTCTGGTCTATAATGCCATCGGTTTTGTCCCGGAATCCCAGTTTGAATTAATCTCGAAGCTGGCACCTTTCCAGGTGTGCTGGGTGTGTCTCAGAAATCCCATCAGAGGCTGCTCTCTGATTGGTGGATCTGCAGTGCTGAGGGTGGGGTTGGATTATAAAGATGCCCAGGGTCCAGAAAAGAGCAGAGTGCTCTGGAGTCTGCAGTGGGTGCCTGGCCGTGCTGGGTGGCAGAGAGCCCCTCACAACTGGTCCACTTCTGATCCACATCTCATCCATCAAGATGAGCCTCAGGAACCCACCCTCCTTCCAGCATCTGGCCATGCAAAGCCTACT